AAAAACAAAAAAAAAAAAAAAGAAAGAAAGAAAAAGAAAAAGAAAGAAAGAAAGAAGGAAGAAAGAAGGAAAGAAAAAAAAAAACAAAAAACAAAACCAGGTTCTTCCAGACCAGGATAACCTCAAACTTTGTGCCAACCCTGGCCTTGAACTCTTGATCTTCCAGTCTCCATCTCCAAGCGCGGAGATGATTGGAGTGTGCCACCACATCTGACTTTTGGAATTTCGTTGGACGGTATCTATTTCTATAAAACAAGCCGGGAGTGAAGGAGTTGGCCGAAAGTCCAATTTTGAAAGCTAGATTGGAAATCCTGGTTTGGCGGTGCCCGAGGAAGGCGGCCTAGGTTGGCGGAGACTGACGTCTTGCAGAGGGCCCTGATGCGTTGCCAAGGCAACAGAACCTTTTCCGTGGCTTTTCAACAGTTGGGGACCTTGGACGGGGTGGTTACGTGAGGCGAACCCAAAGCGAGACGATCTAAACCCTGAGAGCAGGCAGAAGCTGCACACGATTCCAGAGTCTCGCAGACTCAGGGCTCGAGCCAACGTCATCGCTCCGAGCCGCCGCCGCAGGTATATGACGCCACTCCCGGAAGTGCGATCTCGAGCGGGCGGGGAAGGGGGCAGCTGGTTCCTTTAGGGATCAGGTCCTGTGAGGCGGTCTCAGAACTGAGACCTGAGACCGTTTCCTCTCCATCTCCGCTGAATCTTTCAGGTCCACGGACTGAGGAAACGTCTCCACCGTCATGGGAGGCGGAGACCTGGTAAGTGCTCGGAGCCTGGGCCGTTAGGATTGAGGCCCGAGACCCACTGGCGCCGGGGACGGAAACTGGCGGGGGTGCGGTGGAAGTCGGGGGTGGCAGTGGGTAACCCTGGTAATGAAGTCTTGTTTTCAACACAAGGGGTTGGTAAACTCCGAGAGAGAAAGGATGGTTAAGGCCACGGAGGGACTGGGATGAGACTGGGGAGGATGTGCGGCGAGTGATGTCTGCTGGTGTCTGTGTTTGGTGATTGGAGGGGGTCGGGGGCTCCCGGCTGGGAAGTCTGAGGTCACGAAGGGGGACAGTTGGACTCATGCTATGGAAGGAGGCAGATCTTGGCACACAGACTTTATTTTGTGTATGTTATCTTGGGACATAGTTCCTTTTCTTAGCTAGGAGTTTACAGTTGTATCCTGGACCTGGACTGTCGAAGGGTGGGCCGCAATCCTCCTCCATTCTTTGGAGGAGTCCATTTTAAATCTTGTCCATCATTGTTTCATTCCCTACACCAGTGCTTTGCTTTGATCTGTAGTGACAAAGCAGGTGTCTTCTGTATTCATAACACTTTTTTTAGGCTAAGTGGCAATTGCTCTGAAGACGTGTAGTTCATTTGTAGAGAACTAATGCCTTAAATAAGGTGGAAGTATCCACGAAACACAGAGCTAAATTAGAAAACTATTGATCCTCTCAAAGTGAAGCTAATTGAATCGATAAATATATTAGTTTAGATATCTATCCATTAGGCTGAGTTTGTCAGGTATTCTTAATTTGATCAAGTTCTAGGACTCCATCAAAGTTGGTCTGGATTTTTGTTTGTTTTTCGAGACAGGGTTTCTCCGTGTAGTTTTGGTACCTGTCCTGGATCTCGCTCTGTAGACCAGGCTGGCCTCAAACTCACAGAGATAGGCCTGGCTCTGCTTCTGCCTCCTGAGTGCTAGGATTAAAGGAATGAGCCATCCCTGCCCGGCAAAGTTGGTTTAGTTTAGTATGTTCTTCACATAACTGTGTTTAGGGACAGTGCATTAGTTTGTTTGTCTATTGCTGTGATCAAACCAGGACCAAAAGCAACTTTCGGAGGAGAGGGCTTATTACATTTTACAGGTTAGAGTCCATCATTAAGGGAAGCCAGGGAGGGGCTCAAGTAGGAACCTGGAGGCAGAAACCATGGAGGAGTCCTGTTCACTGGCTTGCTTCTCTTGGCTCACTCAGCTACCTTTCTTATATAGTCTGGCCCACCTACGCAGGGATGGTACCACCCACAGTGGGCTGGGCCCCCCTACATTGATTAGAAATCCAGATCTTTGTGTGTATGATGGCGGGGCTGTCCTGCACATTGTCTATTCAGCAGCCTCTAGCCACAAAGATGCCATTAGCACTTGACTCTCCCTTAGTTATGACATCTACACATTTCCCCAGACATTAATTGCCACCTGTGCCCTGGGATGGAAAGGAGGACCTATGTAGGACAGAGTAAGGGGTGGGTGGGTGGTGGTGGTGATGGTGTGTTGAAGGAAGTCCTTTTCAAAGGAAAGAATGTAGGAAGGAAGGATGAAGCAACCTGGTAAAGGAGGAAAGGCAGTTAAGAAAAGGTAAAGAAAGAAAGCAGATGATACATGCCTTTAGTTCCAGTGCGTGGGAGCTAGAGCCAGGGAGCTCAAGTTTGAGGGTAGCCTGAGCTAGATAGCAAGGCCCTGGCTTGCACGTATGTGTACGTGCTCACACATACCTGCGTACTTGCTGACTGTGTGCTTTGTGCCTGCAAGGTACCTTGTGTATTTTATCTCCTTTAGTCTTAAACTGGTCTCCAGATTTGCACCTCTCCCATCCATTCTTCATATCATAGCTGGACATGCTCTTGCCTGCATCTTTTCAGGTCTTACTTCCCACCATCAACAGGGTGCAGTTCAGTCCCTTCACATATCTGTAAGAGATCTGGTCTGCTGGCTTCTTAGCTGGCTATATCCCACACACCTCCTCCATTAGCGTGCACTCTGCCTCCAGCCACAGTGAATTATTTATGCTATGTTTTTCCTCATCGCTGGGACTGTGGTTATGAGTGCCATTTCCTCTTACAGATCTTCCCATGTCACCAGCTATTTTATAACCATCCTTAGATGCTACTTCTCCAGGGAAACTTCCTGCGATTACAGCTTGAAGCGAAGTAATGAGAGGAGAGAGGAGAAGCATTCATTGAAGGCGAAGGGACAGGGACAGTTCCTGGGAAGGAAGGTTGAAAAAGGTCTAGATGCATTGTAAGCATGCAAGTTTAGGCACAGGAGAGTTAAGAGGACTCAAAAAAAAAAAAAAAAAACAAAAAAAAAACAACGATGTTTGAACTGGCCGTCTGTGGTGGTGCAGCCTTCGGGAGCAAAGGCAGGCAGATCTCTGTAAGTTCGAGGCCAGCCTGATCTACAGAGCTAGTTGTAGTACAGCCAGGGCTACGCAGAGAAATTCTGTCTCGAAATCAAAAGGAGAGAGAGAGAGAGAGAGAGAGAGAGAGAGAGAGAGAGAGAGAGAGAGAGATGTTTACATAAGAATGAACGTACTGTCCCAATGAACCATGTTGCCTTTCAGAACAGATCTCTTCCTCCCTGCCCTATTTCTCCCATCTTGCTGTTATCAACGCCCATTGTAGGCATGGCTAGTGGAGTCTAAGGCTGTAAGTGTTTGAAGGAAGCTCGGGAAGGGCCTGTTCCACCCTCAAACTGTAAAGACATTTCCCACCACTTCATGCGTGCTGGGCAAGCACTCTTCCACGATCTGCATTCCTCACCTGCTCTCTTGCCTTTACATGCCTGCGTGTACTGGTTATGGGAAGGGTGGGTGAGTCGCGGAGTGATGGTTAATTTTAACTACTTGGCATAATCTAGAATCACCTGGAAAGAGAATCTCAGTGACAGCTGTCTACGTTGGGTTGACCTGTGGGTATGTCTGTTGGGGATTAATTATCTTAATTAGTCATTGTGGGAAGACCCTCATCACCTCCCACCTCCCACTCTCTGAATCCTTCCCTCCTTCCTTTCACTCACAGAACCTGAAGAAGAGCTGGCACCCACAGACCCTTCGAAATGTGGAGAAAGTGTGGAAGGCAGAGCAGAAACATGAGGCCGAGCGGAAGAAGATTGAGGAGCTTCAGCGAGAGCTGCGGGAGGAGAGAGCTCGGGAAGAGATGCAGCGCTACGCTGAGGACGTCGGGGCTGTCAAGTAAGAGACGAGCTGGCTGTCTGCTGCGTGCCTAGTCCGGGTGCTGCGTAAGAGTTCCGTGATTCAGCATGTGGAGCTGGGAGCCTGACCAACTCGATTCTAAGACTGGCTGTCCGTGTCCTAAGTTGTGTACCAGAGAGAAGGTGTGGGAGCCTTGGGTATCTCGGTAGGACCCCGGAAGTCATAATACCCAAGTCTGTATGGGTTGTTGAGGACCAGCTGTGATAACATGTAACAAGTTAGTGTAGACCAGGCTCCCTCTAGATAGTTGACAAATACTCATGACTATGACGAAGAATCGTTGTCTTTATGCTACCTGAGGCCTCTGTGAATGTATTGCAAGCCCATCTTCTTGGGGGCAGTGGGGTTAATGGGAATAAGTAGATAGGGTGGCTGTCAATAAAAGCCTTGTTGTGGCTGTAGACAGTCTTGCTGAATTTTACCTTTGGTCACTTTCAGGGTAATAGTAATAGATAATTACCCTACTCATCTCATGAAATAGAAGAGAGTATATTTCAAGAAAATAAAAGGCATAAAATGCACTCTACAGTGCATTCCGAAATCAGAATGACAGAAACTGCAGACAGATTGAATCGAGTCCTCTCTACTGTTCCCCTGTTCATGTGTCATGGGCAAGCCTTCAGGGGAAATGTAGCCCATTTTCCCCATGGGATATTAAAGGGTTTTCCTTATTTCATGGCAGAGGGATTTGTTACATTCACAGTTGTGTGTGAGACTTAGTTTCAGTATGTGGACATAGCACCTTGGCATGCAAATAAGGGGAAAATCCCATTCTTTTAGGAAATGGATTGGGGAGGTTCTGATGTTTTACAGTGAATGAGGTTTTATGGAACTTTTAAATTAAATATAACGTATTTAGGGAATGGTGATGGTAACTGTTAATTGTGAACCTTGACGGATCCAGGATCATCTAGAAGAAGGGCCTCTGGGCACGTCTGTGGGGATTAGCTTGATTCTGTTAATGTGGGAAGACTCACCTTGACTGTGGGCGGGACTATCCCTGTGCTGCCCATCTGGAGCTGTAGGAGACTCAGCAAACTGAGCACTTGACTATGCATGCAGGGTGACAGCTGATAGCTCCTGTGCATGCAGGGTGACAGCTGATAGCTCCTGTGGATGCAGGGTGACAGCTGAGTTAGCTCCTGTGCATGCAGGATGACAGCCGAATTAGCTCCTGTGCATGCAGGGTGACAGCTGATAGCTCCTGTGGATGCAGGGTGACAGCTGATAGCTCCTGCTGCCTGGATTTCCCTGCCATGATGGGCTGTATCTTGAACCATGAGCCAGAATAAGCCCTCTGTCCCTTAAGTTGCCTTTGTCAGAGTGTTTTATTTTAACAACACAAACAGAGTGAGATCCAGGACAGCCAGGGCTACACAGAGAAACCCTGTCTTGAAAAAAATAAAACCAAAACAAAAGAAAATGAATTTTTTAATTTATTTTTTTTTTATTTTTTAAGAATTACTTATTTTGGGGCTGGTGAGATGGTTCATTGGTTAAGAGAACTTGCAGAGGACTCCCAGCACACACACTGGCTCACAACTATCTGTAATTTGGAACTTGTAATTCCAGTTCCAGAACATCTGACACCCTCTTCTGGCCTTCGTGGGTACTACACACATGTGGTACACATACACACAGGAAAAATACATCAAATTGAATGTTTTAAGAAGTGCAGACAGCCAGGCGGTGGTGGCACACGCCTTTAATCCCAGCACTCAGGAGGCAGAGGCAAGCGGATCTCTGTGAGTTCGAGGCCAGCCTGGGCTACCAAGTGAGTTCCAGGAAAGGCGCAAAGCTACACAGAGAAACCCTGTCTCGAAAAACCAAA